ATACCCAATATCCAGGGGGAAATCCTGTCCCAGATTCTCATATTGATACAGTCACCTTTACTACAAGGTGGAGCCCTCAACGCTCTACTGGAATTCTTCCAGGCAGTCGTTCAACTAGGTTTACCTAAACTAGGCTTTAAAGACATTCTGCAGGTAAGATGAACCCTTTTTATACTCACCCCTATCCGTCCGTCGTTCCGTCAACATAGATTATTTGATGGAATCAAATGAAATTCGGTATGTGTATACATATTCATAGAACGAAGATCAAGTTCGAATTTGAGCTATTTTCGACCGTTAGAAGCAGAGTTATTGCCCTTGCCCCGAAATCTTCAATATGCTATTACTCTCTTAGTTTTCAACGGATTTTGATGAAACTTAAAATGGATGTTTGGTTTTTACCATCCGCATGCCATCAACCCAGCTGTAAATGGGTATGGATAATCCAGGTCTGTCCTTGTGAAATATGGGCTCTCCTTATTTTTCACTCGGCACCCGTTTAAAAATGCGATTCTTTAATTTCAGATGCTGATATTACCAATCTATAACCCGGCATCCAAACCTCCCCATGCGGGTTCATCTTTTACCATACATAAACAGGCTTTCCATTCTATAGCCAAATCAGTGGCTGCTCTGACCAGAATCAACCCAGAGAAAGCTCCCAATGTTGTCAATCAATTTGTTAGTGATATCAAGGTTGGTAGTTTGGTTTTTGTACCCACCTTAAATTAATTTTCGTAAATTTAGTCCCATTCACTTATTGCTTATATTATCAAGGTTGGCAGTTTGTATTTTATACCTACCTTAAATTAATTTTCGCAAATTTAGTCCCATTCACTTATTGCTTATATTATCGAGGTTGGCAGTTTGTATTTTATACCCACCTTAAATTAACTTTGTTAATTTTAGTCACTCTTTGTCTAGGATTTGACTTTTCTTGGTACTTTTAAGGATGAAAGTTTAACATATAATGTGTCTACAATTAAATTAAATATTTATTTTATCAGATGATATAGTTCAAGTTTGTCTTTTCTTGATACTTTTCAGAATGAAAGTTTAACATATAATGTGTCTACGATTAAATTAAATATTTATTTTATCAGATGATATAGTTCAAGTTTGTCTTTTCTTGATACTTTTAAAGATGAAAGTTTAACATATGATGTGTCTACAATTTAATTAATCATATTGCTCCATGATATATGTACAAATTTTTACTTCAGAATTCAAAATCTACAGATTCTATTGTGTTATTTTCCTTGTTGGCTCTCGGTGAAATTGGCAAACACATGTAAGTTTGGTCTTTTGTCCTTTCGTAAACTTTGTCCTTTGATGGATTATCTGTACCCATTTACAGCTGGGTTGACTGGAATAATGAGGATCCTGTCTACCAGCTGGTCCTTGACCAAACCTCTTGGCATTGATCTCTCCTGGATTTTCAGTACCCATTTACAGCTGGGTTGACTGGAATAATGAGGATCTTGTCTACCAGCTGGTCCTTGATCAAACCTCTTGGCATTGATCTTTCCCAGATTATCTGTACCCATTTACAGCT